CCCCAAAACCCCAAAACCCCATCAATCAATGATATTCATAAGATTAGTTAAGATATAAAATAAGTATGAAATAAAAGATGAATGTAACCTCTTATTACTCGCTAGATTTGACATTCTCATATATCAATATAGCTGATTATCTTACTTATGTGAAATCATTAGTACTTAATTCTCGGGTGATTTGGAGCTCCTGATGAATTGATTATATTAAGATTAATTGATCTTTAATAGTTTGGCTTGATTTAAAACTTTAGCCGAGAAATCTGGTTTATACTCTTGCTCTTAGAGTGCTTTCAGTCCTAGATAATCGTATGAGCTTAGCTTAATGAAAAATCCTTCTGATCCGGAACAAACAAGTACATCTCCTTAAAGGATTAGATAAAAATCACTGTTTGGAACACCTCTAACAAAGAGGATTGGATCTATATTTTATTGAAGTTTTCTCTTGAATTCAACCGATCCCATGATGGTAACATTAACTTAGTTATTCTCCTCAGGCACTTTATCATCTAAGTTGTCTGTATTTAGATTCCCACCCTCTCCTTTGCTTGAAAGTAGCTTCGAATTATCATCATCTTATTACTGCTAGAGTCTCATTTGATCGTCTAGTTAAATTTCTTCGACGTTATTCTAGAATGGAGTTTGAACGTCAATATTGTAAGGTGCAGTTCCTGATAATTTCTTGAACTAACTATGTTCTTTTGTATTTTCGTTTTTCTACAGATGCTTGTCGAATTGCATTTAATCCATATTTTGATACTCATTAAGGTATGTGAGCTAATTTCTTGTGTAGTAGTTAGTCTCATTGATTACATGAGAAAATGGGTTTGAATCGCTCTCAATATCTACAACATCACAGTTTCTAATCATAAGGTAAAGCTGCTCTGTATCGACAACTGAAGAGTTAAAGCTATCTACTTTTAATTGTAAAAATTCGCAAATGGCTATGATTTCAGCATCATTGAGTTGATTTTTTGCTTTGTGATCAGTAAAGAGGTAAATTAGTTTGTTCTTTAACAACTTCCTTTTTCCTTTGAGATTTTGAGTCTCTCTCTCATCTTCAATTTCTTCTTATAGAATTTCTTCAATTATATCCTCTATAGTTACTATGCCAACGTTCGTAAGAGTCAGTTCACTTCCGATTTCTTTAGATTTCGTAGTCACTAATCCCATATGAGTGTTATTTTATTTGAAGTAACTCAGGACTGGTTCTAGCTTTGTTTCAACATCAATCGCTATTACATCTCTTAGCAAGATACTAGACAGCTGCTTAATCGTGACTATAGTGTTTTCAAGATTTATTAGCACCAGATCCCTAGTCATTAGTAACCCCACAATATTTTCTCTGACTCCTTCATAAACAGGTATTCTGGAATAGCCTTCACTGTATATTTGTTTAAGCAAATGTTGATTGAGATTAGCATTAATATCTATCATAAAAGCTTTGTCTATTGGAGTCATAACTCGGCCTATCACTTTTGATTTAAGTTCTAAAACAGCGGAGAGTATTTTTCTCTCCTAGGGCTTTAATAATTAAGACTTTTCATACTGTTCGAACATTCTTTTCATTTAATTTTTGCTAAGCACATTTCCAGCTTCTTCACCAAGAATTTTATCGAGGATAGCTCCTATTGGATAACAGAAAAGAAATGTGGCATAGTAGAAGAAGTGTGCAGGCCATCTTAAAAACTACTGATCTGTAAACTGTACTTGTTTGCAAATGTTTGGGGTAAAAGCTAATTAGGGCGTTCTCACCAAAGACTGTAATAATTGAAGTAGACAATAGAAAACCCTTGATATCTCCCTCAATATCTGCCATCAGTACAGATATTACTGCATTAGATGCAGCAGTCCCTAAAAGAATCATAGTAAGTAGTGAATTTCCTTTTCTTCTAAGTGGATAAATTCTCTTTGCATAAACTGCATTCTTTTCATCATCTTTACTCTCAAATGGACCTTAAGTCATAAGTTCGAGATATCTGGTATCTTGTCCCATTAGTCCAATATTGAGTGCATTGAACATTGCTGAAAGTAGTTAAAGAATGATGATAATCAAATAAATGTACCAGGGTATTTCCATATATTATAATTAATGTTAAACGCTTCTATTAAAACTTTTATTTATTGTTATAAAAATATCTATCCCTATCTATTCCTTGTATTATATTAGTCTTGGGGGTTTTGGGGTTTTGGGGTTTTGGGG